CGAATGGCATTATAGTTATAAGCTATAGTCCCATTGCTGATTAACTTCTGGATTCCGTCCTTTGGCTGTATTTGGAGACCAGGTACATATTAAAGAGACTGAACAGATTAGCAAATGAAAGGTATGTATCTTCAGGCTTTTAAAAATCTTGTTTTGTTTTTTTTCTTCTAACAACTGAGATCTGGAATTTGTCTACCTAGAGAAGGACACATGAGGCCTAGGTAGAGAAATAGAGATCACTTTATATTTCCAGAAATATTTTTTAAAAAAGCGTTAAAATCATTCATTTGCTTATTCTTTTGAGTACACATTGTATATCTAATCATTTTACAGATATTTATTGAATGTCAATTATTAAGTACTAGCCACTGCCTTGAACAATAACTTTACAGTTGTAAAGAACACAGATCATGTGCCCACCTTTATGAAGCTACATTCAGGGAAGAAATTCACTGCTAAATGTAACAAAATATTAAACACATGATATAATACTAAATGGGATAACCATTACCAGTCCTTAGTAAAAATTGGACTGGTGGCTTGAATAGAAAAACAAGTTTCTGAAAATGTGATATGTACTATAATATAGATATGATGCAGTTGTGTTAGGACATCTGACCTTGGACAACCATACTCAAGAGCTATCCACAATGCCTAGTGACATACAGTTAGCCCCCAAATGTATCAACTGTTAGTTATAGGACATCCCTGTAAAACAGACTAGTATGCTGTGAACAACCAATAAAGACTTCTCGAGGAAAAAAAAATGACTAATCAGAAAAATGAAGAGGGACTTGTCAGATGATGAGGAGGCTGCCAGGCTAAAAGAATAGCATGAGACAAGACAAAATGTGTGATACTATAAATAATGTTTAGGGACATTAACTTGAAGACTTGACTGCAGTATATGGGGTTTGTAATTATCAGAAAAGTAAATAAGGAAAGGTAGGATGTGAGGCAAAGGCCTCTTTGCTCTAAAGTATGACCATTAATTCCTAATTTCCTCCATCCTTCCTGTCAGACTGAGCTATTTGGAAATTAACTATTAAGAACCAATTACTGTTCTAGAGATAGAATGAATGAATTAGATTTGAAACCCATCTTCAATGAGGTAACAATAACAACTAACATTTTTCAAATAATTTATGTAAGTCAGGGATTGTTTCAAGCAATACCTATATATTAATCCATTTAATCCTCAAGATAATTCTGTAAGATAAGTGGAATTCTCCTCTTTTTTTATAGATGAAGAAAACAAGGTACAAATAACCATTATACTCACAGTGCCAGGCACAGTGCCTGACATCATAGTTTCTTAATATTTTTGAATGATAGAATTAATAGATGAATGATGCTGAAGGCCTGCTTTGCAAGGGCCAAGATTGTACACACATGATGAGGTTATTGTCTTGCTCATTGGTCGTTTTGTGAGATGACAGTAGGAAAATGTTTCTCAAACTCTGATAGATTTTCTTGCTAAGAATTCTAATTCATTGGCTTCAAATTGAAATGCATTGCGTTTTTAATATGTTCCCCAAACATTTTATTCTAAGGTGAACTTGAAAAGTTTTGAAGCCGAAAAAAGAAAATGAAACAAATTTGCAGTACACTGAATTGGTAGTCATTACAACTAAACACACAACTAGTGGATAATGATTCTTATTCTAGCTCAACCAATTAAAATTAGGAGGAGGGGGGTGTTGACTTTGTGACACAATGGGTAAAGCTGCCACTTGGAACATCAACATCAAATGTCCAAGGGCCAGTTCAATTCCTGTCTATGCAAACTGAGAGTCAACTTCCTGATAATGTGTCTGCGAAGGTGGTAAAGATTGCCCAAGAACTTGGTGAGCCCTTGCCAGCCATATGAGAGAATCAAGTTCCTTGGCTTTAGCCTGGCCCTGATCTGGCTGTTGTAGCCATTCGGGGGGTGAACCATGGAAATGAAGGATCTCTCTCTCTCTCTCTCTGTGTGTGTGTGTGTGTGTGTGTGTGTGTGTCTGCCTTTCAAATAAGTAAATAAATCATTTTTACAGAAATGAGGTGGGGAATGATGACTTCAATGAAATTATTAGTTATCATTCATTAGTTATCTTCAGCCATAACATAGGGCTTCTCTGTCTTGATGTCTTTAGCTGTATAATTCTTGGTTGTATGATGGCTTTCCTGCTGTGCATTTTAGGATATGCAGCAGAAATCTTAACCTCTATCCACCAGATCCCAGTAGCTCATTCTATCTCCCTCCCCCACGGCATTATGCCAACTAAAAACCTCTCCAGTCATTAACAAAGGTCCCATACAATAAAAATGATCTCTGATTGACAGCTACTGACATAATACAAGACAGGGAGCTTTCACCATCCGGTTCCTCACCCACAGTAACGTTATCTCTGAACCCAGAATCCTGTGAAACACCTGATCTATTTCCCTATAAATGTGTCTCTGAGAGCAATGGGGTGTGTTTGATGAGTACAATGTACCTTATTTGCATTATCCAGATTCTATAGTACATATCTTTCCCCAACTCTTGTGCCCAACATGTAGAGCTGGTTAACAAGTCAGATGGAATTGAATGTGGCGTCAAGACATGGATGATGTTCAAAACCTTCATTCTTTTTTTTTTTTCAGGTTCTGGAGGGCTCAGATCCCTTTTACATAGTGTTCAGGGAATTATAATTAACTGTGACAGCAGAATAAGATTCCCAGCAGACATATATTACAAAAAGGAATAAAAGGAATCAAAATTAGAAACATAGAAATAAAGTCAAATTAAAGTACTTGGAGAAAGGTATAAACTAAAAACATTCGGTAAAATTGGCAAAAAAATACATTTTGAAAAAAAGTGAAGTGTTCCGATATTGTAGTTATTTACCTTTCATTAAAATAAACGTGCAGCTTGTTACTACCCAAGGTATATCTTTCATTTTTCCTTTCCATTAATCTCTTTTAATGGTTCTCCAGGTCTTTCAGTTACATATGAGAAAAATAAAAGTAAAACCTTGTTAAGAATTATTGACTGCCACAGCCAGTGCTGTGGCATAGTGGGTAAAGCTGCTGTCTGAAGTGCAAGCATCCCACAAGGACACTGGTTCCAGTACCAGCTTCTCCACTTCCCATCCAGATCTCTGCTATCACCTAGAGAAGCAGTGGAAGATGGCCCAAGTGCTTGGGCCCATGAACCCGCGTGGGAGACCTGGAAGAAGCTCCTGGCTCCTGGCTTCTGATTGGCGCAGCTCCGGCTGTTGTGGCCATCTGGGGAGTGAACCAGCAGATGGAAGACCTCTCTCTCTCTATCTCTGCCTCTCTATAACTATATCTTTCAAACAAATAAATAATTTTTTTAAAAAAGAATTACTGATGGGAGAGTTATCAACTGCTATTGTATAACATTAGGTAATACCATATTTCCACTGATGTTTTAGAACTCTAATCTTACCAAAATGCAAGGGGTAGCTAGAAAAGTATTTATTATTCACAACATTCTTCTAGTGAATTAATTGCTTCTTCACTGGCTAATCAGATCAGTGAATTAGTGGGTGCAACCAATGAAACAGTTGATTAACTACCCAAAGCACAACCTTAATAGAAACACTAAAACTAAGAAAAAGAAAACCCATCAACTCAAATTTATATTGGTATTACTTTTTAACTTAAATGTACTAGCCAAAAGTCTATTACAATGAGAGTTTATTGTTATATTAATTATTTTGCATGGACTACTTTGATTAATGTGCTTTTTGGAAGAAGAAAATTATGCCTAATTAATGTGTGGTGGGGGAAGAAAAACAAGGAGAGTCAATACGTTTGTTTGGAGGAGACTGAGAGGAGAATCAATCAAAGAAAGGGAAGAAAAGCCCAGCACTGCGCTCTGCATTATTCCAGGCAAGAAAAAGAATAGAAAGCCACCTCCGACCTTGTTACCTCTGTCCGTTTTAGTGATGTGGACAGGTAGAGTAGCTACAGCTCCCTTTCTGGCGTCCCCTGTGTGCTAGAGACAAACATTCCCAAGTCATGAGGCGCTAAATTGCAGACCATCCCCGCATCTGGCCCATTCCAGGTGGCTGTGGGGTGATTAATGAGACAGACACAGACCCCTCCCCACCCCCAAGCCCGGCGGCTTCCGTGGGAAACAGGAGTTCCTGCAGGCGGAAGGCAGAAGATGGCTGGGCAGAGCGAGTCTGCTGCTGCACCACCACTGTCTTAGTTCCCGCTGCCAGAGGCTTTCTGGTTGCCATGGATACTGCTGGGCTCCGCCGCCAAGTGCAGGCGGCGCCTCTGAAGTTCGGCCCGAGCAGTGGCGCTCGGAGGCGACCCGCGAGGGAGGGGCGCGGCAGGTCCACGCTCGTACGAGGCCGACAAGGATCCCGTCAAAGCCAGACTCTCGGCTCAGTGTTTATACAGCAAGACAGTTCCTGTCTGCCGTTATTCGTCAGTGTCATCTTTCGGTGCCTGGCGGGAGACTGCACGCATCCTCTCCTTACGAAGGCTCTGAAAGGGAGTAGGACCGCGCAGAGCAATGGGCGCCTGCATGCATTCGGTTATCAATCTAGCATCCCCCGGGGGCCCCGTGCCTGCTCTGCTGGGGCTGCAGAGAAATGAGGCGCCGCCCCATCCCCACAAATTAACAGCGATGGTCAACAAAGATGAACGGAATCCGCAAGTCCAGGGAAAACCGAGTGGGCACTCTCTGCTTCCCGAGGGTCTGTCGGAATCCGAACGTGGGAACGGACACGGACGGTGGTCCCCACACTACGCCGAGGGGCGCGCAGGCTGGGAGGGGCTCCGCCTTTCCAGGGAGGGCGTCCGTCTGGGCCCCTCCAAAGCGTCCCCGCCACGGCGACGGGAAGAGGTTTGTTTTTCTTTCAGAAACCCGGAGCCCTTTTCCCTACTGGGCTCGGTTTCTAGTAGGGGAAGCTCCGCCCCTCGGAGCCGCCGATTGGCTCCGCTCTTTTCAAGATAATCTATGCCTGCATCCTCTCGCTCCGATTGGCTGCCCCGCTCCGCCGCTGCGGGAGTCGTGTCCACCTGGTGAGGAGGTGCAGCGCGGTCCAGCACTCGCCTGGCCGCCTTGGGCTGCGAGGGAAAGTCCTGGCTGCGCGGACAGAGCTCCGGCCGCTCCGAGAAAGCCATCCCGATGGGGTTCTGCAAAGCCTTCCTCTCCTCCCCGTTTCTTCTGTGGAGTCATAGTAGAGGGGTGAGGTTGATGTTCTTGCTACTGACCCTGCATTTGGGGAGCTGGTGAGTACATTCAAGGACACGAAACTATTCTTTGCTGATTACCCTCTTCCCCCGCTTTATTTCTCCTTCTTAAAAAAAAAAAAAAAAAAAAAAAAAAAGCTGTCCAAGTTCAGTAGTTCGCATTGCCCAGCAACATGTGCGTTTTGTACCGTCATTCTGTTTTCTGGTTAGATGCATTTACTCAGATAAAATGGAATTGGCTTAATATTGAAGCATCAGGATTAGTTCAGTTTTTTTTTTTTTTTATTTACTTGTAAAGGCTCAGTTACTGGAACGGGACGAGGAAGAGTAGAGATGACTTTGCTACTAAATTTAGTGAATGGATGTCATTGATGAACTTTCTGGATGGTTCTACATTCAGAAACTTGTCACACAGTGATACATAATGATGCTTTTCTGTATACTAACATGGCTTTTATCTTATTTTGTTTGCTTGGTAACTTTTTGGAAAATATATCTTATATCAAGAAAAGATATGACTTTAAAAACATGTAACATGAAATTGTGTAATATATAAATAAGAAGCATGCATGTTTTATTTGAAACAGCTTTCAATGGTTTTTACTTTGGTTGGCTATTCACAAGTAATCAAGAAGTGGGTGGTGATATGAATGTTTTATGGGAGAGAGAGAGAGAGAGAGTGAGTTATCCCAATCCTGCAATTGAGCAGGGACAGGATGTAATACCTTTCAATAAACTTTGGAATCATTTTGATACAAAAATAAATTGTTCAAGTATCATACCTGTATTGTGTGGTAGTAGGTGAAAAGAATTACAGTATGTTTATTAAGGCATATTCACAATAAAGGTTTGTTGCACACTACTCATATCATACAATATATTTTAAATGAATATATATTTTAATTATATTTTTGTATTATGTAATCCTGCTTAGAACTTGAGCAAAGCAAAATCAGTATAAAGATAAAAATATGCCTTTATAAGTACTTACATCATTGCTAAAATAAATGATTATAATTTTAGCATATAACCAGAGTGAATTTTTTTTTGCCATTACCACCAGATGGAACAAGTATATTTTCTCTCACGAAATAGAGATTGGCTTGTAATGTGCTAAGTAATTGACTAGTTAGAAAATTTTTGACATAGTGTTTTGAGGTTCTTTTTTAGTTCTACATTTAGAGTTTATATATCTTTTCCGTTGAAAATATTCTGAATGGGCACAAACATACTACTGCTGGTTGAATTATTCCACATATATGAATATATGACTCTATATGTGTGTATATATATCTGTATGTATGATATCAATGGCTTAGGCTTTGAATATATTATAATGCCTTGTAAAAGATATTTATATAGAACATCTACCTTCTTAATAGTTCAAAAGTAACAACTGATCTACCCAGTTGTTTTCTGAAATAAGCTGTATGTTCTTTTACCTTTACAAGTTTCTCTTTCAATGAAATAGGAAAAATGCATAGTAAACAGCACATTGTCTACCCAAAGATACATTTGTTTTAAATTGGAGATGTTTTATTTTTAGAGATATTTAGGTTATGACTATTGTCACTGGCTCCAGAACTCTCATCATGCTACTCAAAGTTAAAGAGCTGTATGGTACTGTAGATGGAGCCCAGGTTTAACAGTCTGGAGACGTGAGCTCATGTGTCAAGATCCTTAACTTCTCTGAATCCAGTTTCTTTACTTAAGAAATGAAAAGTTGCAGTAAATGACTTCTTGAGGTTTCATATTCAATACATCTAAGATTTGAACTGAAACATAAAATAACTCTGAGATTGGCTTCCCTGGTGTTTCTTAGTAGTTTTCACAAAGAAAATTCCATTGTGGATGCCATGTGTCTTTTTATTTACCATTCTGTGTGCATGGGTGAGATGTTATACAGTTAAAAGTGATAAATAATTCATTTTATCATGGAGATATAGATACTCTGGATTATTCTGGCCACAGAATTAATACATATTGAAAAATGCACTTGCATGAGTTGCTGTTATAATAGGTTTAGGGCCTCAGCAAAAGAGGTCATTTATTTACTTTTTAAAGTAGCTGCAGTTGCAGTGAACTTTTCATCCTTTTGATATTTATTTGAAGATAATTGATGTCAACATGTACTAGCCCTGTATAATCATATTTCCCACCCATTTTCCCTTTATAGGGACAAATGTAAACCAATAATGGCTGGTTCTGTCTGTGAGACCCTTTCTATCTTATACTTGTTTCCAAAAGAAATCTTTAAAGTTATCTCTTTTTGGTTTTACCTATTTGGAAACTATTGCTTCTTATATCTAATCAGAGGGGATGTCTTGTTTGCTTGTTAGTTTCCATCAAGAGGATGAAGAAGGAGAGACACAGTATTCATTTTTCATTACTAGACTAAGAAAACTTGTCCTGAAAGATGTAACCATGATTCCCGTGTTTCATTCTTCAGGAGACTCTACGGCATCTCCACAAGTTGGAAAAAAAATATCTTCAACTTGATTTGACTTCCTTTAATGTTGAAAAATATCTAATTATAGTTAGGCTTTTGAGACAATTGAAAAGATGATTTGACATTTTAGCTGTTTTAAAAGTAACCTACTACAAGCTTTGACTAAGAAGCTGTATTTTGAGAAATCTCAAGAAAAATAATTTTTTTCTAATTTTTAAGCAGTGATAATATAATTTAGCATTTAGTTGCTTATCTGGAAATATTCAAATACATTTCTTTTGTAACATATTTTATTTTCAAGTAATCTCAGTAATGTCTTTAGAGAGAGTAGAAGTGAATGAATGCTATTTACTCACATGTCTACGTTTTTGGCTGAATTTTTAAATAAAATGCTGCTGTTAACATGAAAACTCAAGAAAAAATAACCCTGTAATGGTGCGCCAAGATAATTACATAGACAAAGAAATGAAGAACAAAAATATTTTGAAGCTCAGGTTCAAATATCATAATTGCTAAATCCCCTATGTATAGGGTGTTTTAGTTTATGAAAACAAGAAATCTGCTTTGTCAATTCCATTCCATGTTGTACTATGCCACACATATATGGCTTAACAACAAAAGGAAATGTCTGACATATTATTCAAGTACTGAATATATTAGTCTAATGTATGTATTTATATACATGTGTGTCATACACATGTGTGTATATATATATGTGTATATATATATATATACACACACATATGAGAGTGTGTTTGCATGTATTTAAAACATGTCTAAGAATATGATAAGGAATGTGGGGGCCCAAAGGTGAGAACATAAGGAAAGGTAGGAAACTCAAGAATGACTGTGAGTTATTGAGAAAATGATTATCAACATATGATGAATGACTGGCATGAGAGAAGGGGTATATGTGGTCATAAATAGAATGAGCAGGATCCAGGGGAATAATTCACAGGGAGGGAGCCAAATGAGACTCCTGGGCTTTCCCATCAGGTCCAATTTAGTTTCAGTTCCTCCATTTCCAACTAGAGTGATATCAGGCATGTATATGTGTGTAGATACCTAATATATACATATATACATATATATATATATGGTAAAGAGGCCTCATGTTTGAAAAGTAAAGATGTCATCAACATTTCCAAATGTTTTCAAGACCAAGAAAGAAAATTTGTGCAAGTAATCTAGTACTTAATTTTTTGTCTGAAAATAAAGACAGAATGGCAGTTATTCTATGGAGTTACAATGAATGTGGTGTTATTTATCCTACTTAAAGTGGTTTTAGCTATATCAAGCTGTGTATTATTAGATTCCTTTTGCATTTGTGAGATATTATTTTTCTATTTAACAAATATTTAATGAACTTGTACTCTGTGCTACACCTTGTACAATATGCTGGGTTTACTGTGGTGAATAGATTCGATATTACTATTAGCCATATGAAGTTATACTCATTTCTAAAACATAGGTTTATGATATTAATCAAACAAAAATCTTTTTATCAGAATAAATAAATACACCTTCAGAATTTCAAGTATAAAGAGTTATCTGAATTTTTGAAGATAAAAGATACTGATGGAACATATAGTATGAAGGAAAAAGAACTAAAGAGCCAACAAAGTTTGCATTAGCAACACAAGAAAACTGTGAGGGAAAATATCAGCAAAAGTCTGATGCACAATATTCAGTCTGGGTGATTGTACATAGCCAAATTATCAATCAAGAATTCAGAGAGTGACATTTAGATACTGGTATTCTTTCCCTTTCACAGATTGAAGAAGTGGGGCACAGAAGTTTTATAGGAACTTAGTACAGGTCATGTTGTTTGTAAGAGCTAAATTCAACACTCAAATCCATGTGATCTATTCTGAGAGCCTGAATTTTTACTACCAAATCACAGACAATGAGTGCAATAACGTGAATGCAAGTAGCATGAATACAGATGAAGAAAATACAAAAGAAGAGGAGCAATGAAGGAGAACAGGAGGTAACAGGAGTAGGAAGGGAAGGGAAAGAAGAACACCTAAAAGGAAACCTGTTGAAGTGAAATGGACACTAGGGGAAACGGTGACTTGATCAGCATAGCCTTGACTGTTAATGAACAACTTAATACATTATCCCTCTTAGTAGTTTTTTTTGTCTGTTCTACTTAATATGACTGGTTTAATTCTGTAATTAATACACAGTTATTCTTAAGTGTTGAAAATTAACTGAAATGTGATCCCTGTTAAACACAAGAGTGGGAATAAGAGAGGGAAGAGATGTATAATTTGGGACATGCTCAAGCTGACTTGCCCCAAACGGTAGAGTTAGAAACATACCAGGGGATTCCAATTCAATCCCATCAAGGTGGCATGTACCAATGCCATCTCACTATTCCAAGTGATCAATTTCAGTTCACAATTGATCATAATGAAAGGACTAAGAGTCAAAGGGAGCACATAAACAAGTCTAGTACCTGCTAACACTAACCGATAGAATAAATAAAGGGGAGAGTGATCCAACATGGGAAGTGAGATACTCAGCAGACTCAGAATGGCAGATGTCCTAAATAGCACTCTGGCCTCAGAATCAGCCCTAAAGGCAT